TCGAACCAAAGACAGGAAACAAACCCAAGACAATAAAGGAACCAAAGACAAGAATCGAACCAAAGACAAGAATCGAACCAAAGACAAGAATCGAACCAAAGACAAGAATCAAACCAAAGACAGGAAACGAACCAAAGACAGGAAACGAACCAAAGACAAGAATCGAACCAAAGACAGGAAACGAACCAAAGACAGGAAACGAACTAAAGACAGGAAACAAACTAAAGACAGGAAACAAACTAAAGACAGGAAACAAACCCAAGACAATAAACGAACCAAAGACAAGAATCAAACCAAAGACAAGAATCAAACCAAAGACAAGAATCAAACCAAAGACAGGAAACAAACAAAAGACAGGAAACAAACCCAAGACAATAAAGAAACCAAAGACAAGAAACGGACCAAAGACAGGAAGTAAACTGAAGACAGGAAGTGAACCAAAGACAATAAACAAACCAAAGAAAGGACGTGAACCAAAGACAGGAAGTGATGTAGCAGCTAGGTTTGAAACAGAAATGTGAGATTGTTCAGATTCAGTGTCGACCAGCAGAAAAGGATGTTTTGGTTTTGGTCCATGCCAATTGATGAGCCAGGTTAGAATGGAACATCTTTACCAGCTGTGATCAAACCTTTGTGTAAAATAAAAACTAAAAGAATTAAAAAAAAAAATCTCTAATATTGTTTTGCTTCTGATGGACATCAGACCTTTGTCCCCGTCTCTTTGGCGCATGAACGTAAGGATCGCACCGTGTACCCATAACGCTGCTCCAACTCTTAGATCTGAAGCCTCAGATTTGATTTCTTTCACGTCTTTCACAAATTATGAAAATAAACATCTTTTTCTCAGACTGAACAAAATTGCATTGGCCTCCTTGATTAGGTGATGCACCACATGACAACCTTTTACCCTGAAGAAGAATTTCTACATTATTTCCATCTCTCACTTCTTTCAGAGGATCCTGGAATCAACCCTTAGGGACAGAGAGTCCACTGAGGTTTGAGTCTGGTTCTGATCCACAGTTAAGAGAATGTCTGGTCCAGGTCCAGTCTCTGAAGAACTTCTTGACCTGAGGTTCCGACAGACTGGAGAAAAGGCTCCGTTGTCCTGACGTCATTGTGAGCTGAGATGCCTTCAGAGTTCTGTCAGCACCTCAGACACTTTTAGAAATGCTTGGAAACAAGAAGAGAAGAAACTCCCGACCCAATCTCATTTTTCTTTGTTTTTCACAAACAGACAAACTTTGTTAGTTTTTAGTTAGCAGCCAGATGTGTTTGTAAAATTTCATCAAACTGTGAGAAGAACGTCGGTACAAATGATGATGAACATGTCTGATGAAGAGGATGAGGCAGAGCGGAACACCTAAAGTCCCTTCATCAAAGATCTGCAGTGACCATTTCTGTTTCTGCACACAAAGACCAGATGTTGGGCCAGATGTTAGACTGACTGTTAGGATGGATGTTAAACCAGATGTTAGGCCGGATGTTAGACCGGATGTTAGGACAGATGTTAGACCTGATTTAGACCAGATGTTAGACCAGATGTTAGACAGAATCTTAGACGGAATGTTAGGCTGGATGTTAGACCAGATGTTAGGCTGGATGTTAGACCGAATGTTAGGCTGGATGTTAGACCAGATGTTAGGCCAAATGTTAGACCAGATGTTAGACTGAATGTTAGACCAGATGTTAGGCTAAATGTAAGACCGAATGTTAGGCTGGATGTTAGACCAGATGTTAGGCCAAATGTTAGACCAGATGTTAGACTGAATGTAAGACCAGATGTTAGGCTAAATGTAAGACCGAATGTTAGGCTGGATGTTAGACCAGATGTTAGACCAGATGTTAGACCGGATGTTAGGACAGATATTAGACCTGATATTAGACCAAATGTTAGACCAGATGTTAGACTGAATGTTAGACCGAATGTTAGGCTGGATGTTAGACCAGATCTTAGGCCAGATGTTAGACCAGATGTTAGGCCAAATGTTAGACCAAATGTTAGGCTGGATGTTAGACCAGATGTTAGGCCAAATGTTTGACCAGATGTTAGACTGAATGTGAGACCAGATGTTAGACTGAATGTTAGACCAGATGTTAGGCCAAATGTTAGACCAGATGTTAGACTGAATGTTAGCCTGAATGTTAGACCAGATGTTAGACCAGATGTTAGACCTAATGTTAGGCTGGATGTTAGAACAGAGGTTAGGCCAAATGTTAGACCAGATGTTAGTTCAGATGTTAAACCAGTGTTCCAGCACATCATGTGACCTGTTTAAGGCTGTAATCGTGGTGCGGCTTCTTGGGTGGGAGTAGATGAACGCAGGAAGGAGTGGGGGCTGCACGCCCTGCGAGCACGCCATCTGGCTGGTCGGATCAGCCGATGATATGTTGGTGTTCACATGATTTATCTGGGGTGAACAGAAGAGCCGAAACCATCGTATATTTGTTTGTTTGTTCTTTAAGTTGTTGTTTAGACCCTAAAACGAACGTAAAGCCATGGTCGGAATGTTTCTCTGTCACGCAGCCGTCGAGCCGGGGATCATTAGAGTTTAAATAGTTCGTTCACATGACAGTGTCACATGATTCAAGATGGCCGTCTGATGAAGAGCTGGTCACCTGGTTGGTGTTAATTGATTAATGGGTTCTGCACGTTGTGGGCGAGGTTTGTGTTTTTTTCAACTCCACGGTGATCTTCATCATCATCTCCTTCATCAGAGTCTTCCTCAGAAAAAAGATGGAACACGTCAGAACGTGTTAAACCAGCCAATCAGAGAGGCCCTGAGGCTCTGTCTGGTGTGACATCATCAAACTCATTTTGTTGTGAACACCATCCTCGTTTTACAAAGTGTGTGATCATTTATTCACGTCTGGAGACGTTAAGGCGCTCGTCATCCAGAGTTCTCCAGACGTTCTACGGTTCAGTTCACATTTTATTCTAGTAAAGTTCTCAGAAACGAGGATTTTTTAAAAAGGCTTTTCTCTGCTGGCGTCATGAAATGCATTTAGGAGTAAACTGCAGGGTTTTCTGAAAAAATAAAGACCAATAATTTTATTATTAAAGCTCAAGACATCTTTAACTGCTAACTACGCAGACAGGAGCTAAATAAAGCCTTCAACAGTTTTTTTTTATTATGTTTAAAAAAACTGAAGAGGATTTATCCAGAAATGGGACGTCTGAGAAGGAAAAGCAGCAAATCGTACCATGTGAGATGTTTCAGAAAAGGACTGGATGATCAGAAAGGGTTCAGAAGTTTTCTGCTGTGGAGGAACACGAGTCCTGCTGTACACAGTGAAAGCTCTGTTATTTACACGCCGCCTCGGCTCCAGAGGGATTTCAAAAGTAACGACCCGGAGGAGACCAGTGATGACTGAGGAGGAACGACTGTGCTGAAACTGAATCCTGAAGGACCTCCAGGGCGGTGCTGAAACCCTCCAACAGGCAGCAGATCCAGAGTTCCTCCAACTTTTCTGCCACGAACAGAAAAACAAAGGCAGTCTGAGAAGGAGGATTTCCACAAGGCAACGTCACTCGGGTGATATCTGTGTCCGCTGACAGTCTGGTGTGTGAAGGATCTGCAGTCTCATGAAGCTCATCTGAGACAGATCTGCAGAACGTCTCCTCTGCGGCAGACTTTACATCTCTGACCATTTTCAGACGTCATCGTTGGTTGAAACTTGTTTCAGGCCGGAAATCTCAGCAGGACTCGCGAGATTTTCATGATTTTATCTGCGTTAACTTCTTCGTCTTTGTGCAAATTTCTCTGGTGTGTTCTGAGATCCATTTAAGGTTAAACTTCTGACTTTAATCTGCAGTCAAACAAAAAGGTCCCACAGGAGGAGGAAACTGAGGTCCAGATTCAGAAAGGTTGAAGAAGAAAGTTCATTTGAATGTTTGAAATTATTCCTCGGGTTTTTCTTTTATTGAACCAGTCGAGCTTCCTGGTGACGCACTTCATACGTTTTGCAAAGACTGATGTCTGAGTTGATTAATGTTTGTATAACTCAAATTTATTGTTAAAACTGAAAGATTTCTTCTTTGATTAAAAACATGTTTCATCTGATATTCCTTGACAGTTTGTCATTAATTGTGGGTTAAAAATAAGAAAATCCAACATTTTGTTTCAGTGTTATGCAGACGATACCCAGATTTATTTCCTAAATTCTAATGACTTCACATCTGATCTATTCTAGATATGTGACATGCTGGCTGAGTGTTTATTCATGTCATTTTAATGTTGTTGTTTTACCTTTATGTATTCAGGTAGTCTCAATGAGTCACGACGACTCACATTCACGAGAGACCTGTTTGGGAGCAGATGGTGGGGTTAAGGGCCTTGTTCAAGGGCCCAGAGTGGGGCAAATGAGGGTGGAGGCAGGTGTGGGTGTTTCATTTTTTCCCACCCACATTTTGATGTTGTCGGTCCAGGGAGTCGAACCGGCGACCTTCTGATCACAGGCCCATCTTCTCTAACCTCCGTGCCTTCACTCTCCAATGTGTTTCATAAATGAACTTTCTTTGATTTAAAATTCATCACTTTCACCAGGTAAGTAAGACATTTGGTCACAGATAATACAGTTTTAGCAGGTATCTTCTGTATCAGAAGTTATCTGTTGGCGAACAGAGCAACACATTTTCATACAAGTTAGCGTTTTTTATTATACTGTATGAGGGGCCATTTAGGACATAATTCACTCTGAGACTAACTTGCACTTTTTTTCACTTTTACAAACTCTACTGGTTTAACTTTTCACATTTATCTTTTTTTTTCCCCTTTCCCATTCATCATATTAAGTCTAAAGGTTTGTATTTATGAAGAGAGTATTAATTATATCTAAGTGAATCTTACATAATTGGACTAGAAAATGTTTTTTTCTGAGATGACCACTGTTGTGAATTTTCTTTGTATAAACAAGCTTCATTAATCTGTATTATAATCCATCACAACCTTTGATGAATCTGGACCTTTGTGAGCATTTCATCACTTCTTGACATGTTCGGATCAGACAGTGGTGACTGATAACAGAGGGCTCGGACAGAGCTGACTGTCGCTCTCCACTCGGGTCCCGTGTGTCAACAGTTCCTCCACTGTCGTCCAATCGTCGAGCAGCTTGCTGTTCCTCAGGCGGTTCTGCTTCATGTGGCTCAGCTCCAACACCGCCTGAGATGACAGCAACCCCTGACCTCCCCCCATCAGGTCCTCCCCTCCGCCTCTTCTCTCTCGGTGTTGCCGTGATAGCGCCATCTGACGCCTTCTTTCTGTCCGACTCCAGTATCGTCCCGCCCACCGTCCATCTTCCCCTTCCTCTTCTCCTTCCCTTGCCCCCTCGCCTTCATCTGTCGTGACCTCACTGCGTTCCCTGGCCAATCGGTAAGCTCGGGCTCTGAGTAGCTGATTCCTGACAGACTTCTGATTGGACAGTCTGGACCGGGGTGAAGTTGGAGATCGAGGACTATGCTGAGGGGCTCCAAGAGTGCTGTACAAAGGAACATAGGGACCTTTAAGTGTCTCCATGTGACTCCCGAGAGTTTGAACGCCTCGCCAGTCCGAGATGCCACTGGAGGCAGATCCAGGACTCTTAGAGAGGGAGTCCTCCTCTCTGCTCCGGGTTGAGCTCAGATGATTGGTCAGGTTGGGTCTGTCTATGCTGAGGTGCCCAGCGGGGTGACTGTTGCTGGGATAACTGGCCCTGCTCCTCGGTCCCATCGCATCTCTGGTTGGACTGGATTGGCAGTTCTGGAGTGTATTTCTCAAATTGTCCTGGTCCGTCATGTTGGGGTGACTTGCCCTACGGTGCCTTTGCCCCTCACTCAGATCTGTTATCGTTCGACTCCTCCCCGGAGCCTCCATCATCCTTCTTCCACCCATCTGCTGCTCCAACCACAGCGCCCTCCGCTGGCAAGGCTCAGTCCGACAACCTGCAGACAGAACAAGAACCCAGTCTGAAAGCAGAAAACCAAATCTCTACCCTGAATTTAATTTGTTAGTTTAAATCCAAGGACATGATGTTAACGTTGTCTTTGTGAGAAGAATCACTGAATACTGCTGAACATTGTAAAACAGTTATAAAAGAAATGTTAACTTTCTTGACTTTTCAGGAGTTTTATTTTACTTATTGGTTTTTACCAACTACCCCTACCTTTACATTTTATTTATTCACACCAAGGAAGACCACCAAAGTGTAGGGGTCAGACCACGATGTAGGTGGAGATTAAAAAGGTCTTTTAGTTGCACACTCAAAAGTATTACCAGTATTTCACAAGAAACAAAATAAATAAATAAATAAATGATCTCTGGTATTTCTGATATTTATGACAATGTTTAAGGTAAGGTTTAGTTTGATATCATTCCAATGTTTGACATCATTGCAGCATAAAAGGCAGTGCGTGTTTGTTGATTTATGATTAAATTTTAAATATTATTCCTGTAAAGTAATCAATAATAATCAATATGTGATATTATCAGCAGTGGTTGTAATAGAAATTGCATTTTTGTTTTCAAATAAAAGCAAATAACTTGTGATGCTTTTTAAAAATTTGTGTTAACCTTGAAATAATGGTATTTTTGCTCGAGGTTCTAGTACAGGTAGACTCCCAGACCAATGGACCATCAAGGTAACAACCCAAGTCTGAGTCCCAATCTGAAAACTGTATTTAAAAACATTTTCATTTTGAGATGAGCTCTAAAAGCATCACAGGTTCAGGCTGCTGTACCAGAGCTGAATAAATCCAATCGTATTGATCCTTTTCAAACTTTCCAACTGTAGATGCAGTTTCTGGACAGTTTATGTGATTGTTGGTGTGTTTTCGTACCGACAGATGGTGATGGTGGGGAACGATGGCGTGGTAAAGTTGGACTCCTCTCAGCTCTGTGGAAGTGGACTGTTGTGGTAGTGCTGTTACCCACTGAGCAGTGTGAAGCCTGTGGTGCTTCAGAGTGGATCACTGGCGTCGTCTCAGGGATGGACTCCAAGTCCCAACGTCCTCTCTGCTCTCGAGGGGAGTGGCCTGATCGGAGGTGGGGAGTCTGACGGGAGTTGTGGCCCCCATGAATCTTGTGCAGCCGTCTGTGCTCCCCAGTGCTGACGCTGTGGAAACCGGAGTCACTGGGTTCGGATGAGATTAGGGATTCAGAGGAAGAGGAGGAGCCTTGGGAGGAAGGGGTGTGGCCTGGCAGAGATGACATGGCATCAGTCTCGGCTTCGGAAAGCAGCAACCTGTGGTGTGGGCTGTCTGGTCCACAGCCCAACCCGCTGTCAAGCTCACTGAGAGGAAGGTATCCTAGAGGATGGTCAGACCTCCAAGCATGACGATAGTCTGACTAAAGAGAAAAGGACAGTTTGAGTTAGATTACACTCAGTTTAATAAATTAACATGAATACTGAACTTCCTGAACAAATAAAGACTCTTTCAGTCTGTTGAAGTACACAAGATCCCTTGGAGATCAAATGTGCAGCCTGAGGTTTTGTGTCTGGGTGAACGGTGCATCCTGCGGTAATGAAACTTCAGAAGGTCGTATCAAAGTCAAACCAGGGTAAAGGAAATGCAAGAAGAACAAAAATGAGAATACTTTTGAGACTATACTGTGATAAATTTTCTGCCAACTACAACTTTCTTTTGAGAAACTACACAAACTTAAATATTGTGTAAAAAATATTGTCTAAAGCCCTCAGATTTGCTTATTAGGCAACAGGTCGTACTAGTTGCCAAGTGTGGTGGACTGCTGTGAGGCACAATGACTCACAGTCCAGATCAAATCGCAAAACACAATCTGAGTCCACCGAGGTGAAATGAACAGTCAGGCTCCAGAGACCACTGACAGCACAGTAGGTTATCCCCATCTGTTGGGCTGGAGGATAAAACTGTACTGTAGATCCACAAGTCACACTCAGAGGTGCAGCTGACCCAAAAACAGCGGAGCCTGAACACTTAGAGCAAGGGACCAGAAAAGATAGTAGATCATCGAGTCCAGTTACCTGTCTGTGGAAAGTCTTTGGCTTCATCTCTTCTCCTCTGTAGCAGCCAATCAGACAGCTCTCTGAGTTTGGCTGATAGGGCAACATTGCTGGACCCTGGAAGTGAAACCCAGTTCAGAATACACAATAGAACCACACACATTCTGGGGGATTTAGGAATGGACCAGTAAAAATAAAATCACCTGGTAGTCCAGCTGGTCCAGGTGGTCTAAGCTGTAAGAGACACTGGGCAGGTAGCTGTTCCCCTGGTGCTGATTGTTCGATGGTGTGGGGAGGTAGCCATTGAGTGGGTAGACGTCAGATGACATCATCATGTGACCACTGGCAGGGTACAGGTCAGGTGACACAGTCATGTGACCATAATAAGACCTGTGAAAGAGAAGAGATCCAGTACCATCAGGACGTGATGTCAGACATGTCATAAGTGTCTCAAGACCGTGATGTAAAATACTTTTATGGACAAAATAAAACAAGAAACTCAGTGTTCCTTGCTGGGACGTGGGTTACTGGGGCCACACCCTGGAGCCAGACCTGGAGGGCCTCGTCAGTGGGCACCTGGTGACTGAGCCTCTACTCATGAGGCCCAGTCAGGCTCAGCCTAAAGGAGAATCATGAGTCTGCCTTCCTGCGGACCTACCACATGCAGTCATATAAGTCAGGTGCTTGATGCCATGGGCAGTGGCCAAAAGCGGGCATCTTGGTGCTCTGACCCTGACTTACCAAAGTTGGCTCTTGGGACATGGAATGTAACCTCTCTGGTGGGGAAGGAGCCTGAGCTTGTGTGTGAGGTTGAGAGGCACCAGCTAGATACAGTATAGTTGGGCTCACCTCAACGCACAGCATGGGTTCCGGAACCAATCTCCTTGAGAGGGCCTAGACCTTATTCCACTCTGGAGTTGCCCATGGTGAGAGGTGCCAAGCTGGTGTAGGTCTACTTTTGGTCCCCCATCTTGGTTCCTGTGTGCTGGAGTTTTCCCTGGAAGATGAGGGGGTGGCTTCCTTGTGCCTTTGGGTGGGAGGATGGGCTCTGACTGTTGTTGGTGCCTACGTGCCAAATGGCAGTTCAGCGTATCTGTCCTTCTTGGGGTTTTTGGCGGGAGTGCTAGAAGGGGTGCTAGCTGGGGACTCCTTTATTCTGCTACGGGACTTCAATGCACAAGTGCGTAATGACATTGTGACCTGAAGGGGCACGAATGGGAGGAACGGCCTCGCTGATCTGAATTTGAGTGGTGTTCTGTTGTTGGACTTCCGTGCTAGTCATAGTTTGTCCATCACAAACACCATGTTCGAACATAAGGTTGTCCATGAGTGGATCTGGCACCAGGAAGCCTAGGTTATAGTTCAATGATTGACTTTGTAGTCATGTCATCTGATTTACGGCCATTTGTTTTGGACACTCGGGTGAAGAGAAGAGATGAGCTGTCAATTGATCACCACCTGGTAGTGAGTGGGGTCAGACAGAGGGGTAAGATGCCAGATATACCTGGTAGACACAAATGAGTAGTGGGGGTTTGCTGGGAATGCCTGGCAGAAGAACCTGTCAAAAAGATCTTAAACTTATGCCTCCAGGAGAGCTTTAACCACATCCCAGCTGAGGTGGGGGACATTGAGTCCGAGTGGGCCATGTTCTGCACTTCAATTGTTGAAGTCTCTGCCTTGAACTATGACCGCAAGGTTGCCAGTGCTTCTCACGGTGGCCATCCTCGAAGTCGGTGGTGGATACCTCGGGTTGGGTAGGCTGTCAAGCTGAAGAAAGAGTCCTATCAGGACTTGTTGGTTGGTGGGACTCCAGAGGCAGCTGAGGAGTACCGGAGGGCCAAATGGTCTGCAGCCTTGGCTGTTGCTGAGGCAAAAGCTCAGATGTGGGAGGAGTTTGGCAAGGCCTTGAATAAAGACTCTCATTTGGCTCCGAGGAGAATCTGGCAAACCATCATGTGGCTGAGGAGGGGAAAATAGCACTTTACTAATACTTTTTTCAGTGAAAGCACAGTGCAGTTGATCTCAACCAGCGATGTCATCGGGAGGCAGAAAGAATATTTCTCAGACCTTCTCAATCCCACCAGCACATCTTCCATGGAGGAAGATGAGTCTGGGGACTTCAGGGTTGGTCTATCCATAACCGTGGCTAAGGTCACCGAGGTAGTTAAAAAGCTCTGAGGTGGCAAGGCTCCGGGGATGGATGAGATTTGCCCTGATTTCCTTAAGGCTCTGGATGTTGTGGGGCTGTCTTCGTTGACACGCCTTTGCAACATCGCATGGACATTGGCAGCAGTGACACTAGATTGGCAGACTGGGGTGGTGATTCCCCTCTTCAAAATGAAGGACGGGTGTATGCTGGGATTCTGGTTTGGTGGCCTCAGGATTCCATCTCTGCTCTTTTCATATGATGTGGTCCTGTTGGCAACTTTGTGCCGTGATCTCCAGCTCTCACTGGAATGGTTCACATCTAAATGTGCTCCAATTAGAGGGGCATCCTTATCCTCCCTGGTAAAGTCTATTCAGGGATACTGGAGAAGTGAGTCAGATCGTTAGTCAAACCTCATATCCAGGAGGAACAATATGGGTTCCGTCCTGGCCGTGGAACACTGGATCAGCTCTTTACCTTCACTGAGGTCCTTGAGGGGTCTTGGAAGTTTGCCCATCCAGTCTACGTGTGTTTTGTGGACTTGGAGAAGGCTTTCAACCATGTTCTTCAAGGTACACTGTGGGGGGTGTGGCTAGGATGAGAATCAGCACCTCCAAATCTCAGGCCATTGTCTTCAGTCGGAAAAGGATGGATTGCTCTCTTAGGGCGAGGGTGAGGTTCTGTCTCAAGTGGAATAGTTCAAGTATCTCAGACTTTTGTTCATGAGTGAAGGAAGAATGGAGCATAATATTGACAGACAGATTGGTGTAGCATCTGTAGTACTGCGGACTCTTGTGCCAGTCCATTGTGGTGAAGCGGGAACTGAGCTGTAAGGCAAAACTCTCTGTTTACCCATCAGTCTACGTTCCTATCCTCACCTATGGCCACAAACTTTGCATAGTGACCGAAAGAACGAGATTGCGGATGCAGGCGGTTGGAATGAGTTTCCTCTGTAGGGTAGCTGGACTCTCCCATAGGGTGAGAAGTTCAGTTATCTGGGAGAAACTCAGAGTAGAACCGCTACTCGTCCACATCAAGAGGAGCCAGTTGAGGCGGTTTGGGCATCTGGTAAGGATGTTTCCTGCGCATCTCCCTAGGGAGGTGCTTCGGGCATATCCGACTGAGAGTAGATCCCGGGGAAGACCCAGGACACACTGGAGAGACTTCGTCTCTCGGTTGGCCCTTGACCTCTCTAAGTGGCTTTAAGAATCTGTTGGACTCCTGGCAGGGACCAATGCAGACATGTTCCTGTTTTTAGTTTTCTACATTCGCCTTAGAATCTAGCTGTTTTTTGTTACATTTTTTAGCCATCCTATTTGTTTAAAATAAAAAAATAAAAACTGGAGTATGACTTTTTATAGCTGTTTATTGTTGTCACTGTTGTCCATTGTTGTCATCATTCTTTGTTGAAATCAGGTCTCTCTTGTAAATGAGTCCTCGAGGCTCAATGGGATTTACCTGTAGAAATAAAGGTTGAATGAAAAAACACCTTGGGGTCCTCCCAGAAGAGCTGGAAGAGGTGGCTGTGGAAAGAGATGTCTGGACCTCCCTGATTAAGCTGCTGTCCACACAACCCAACTTCGGAACTAGCGGAAGATAATGGATGGATGGATGGATGGATTGACTGATTGATTTATTGATTGATTGAATAATTGTGATCCAGGCAGGACCGAGAGTCATGGATGCGTGGGAAAGGATGCAATGAACCCAGGAAGTACACATGTCCCTGAAAAGATGCAGTGTTCATGTCTGATCATGGTGTGTTCAACAAACACCTTCAGCTCATTCATATTTATGGAATGAGACAGGCTGCAACAGCAGGGTGGTCTTTTAAACTGACTTTAGCCCATAAAGTCCAATCTAATGTATCACTCAACGTTCTCATGATTAATCTTTTCACTGCAGATTCCATTCGATTCAATAAGTCCAAAACCCAAAGTCAAGTGCAATTTTCTCATTTTAACTATTTATTACGCAAATTCTTCACTTTTACAGAATGTAGACATTCAAAACCAAACTTGCCTCTTAAAATTTAGCCCCACTCTGGTCTTATTAGTAAGAACACTTGAGTAATAAAACAACCATCTGGTTTGCCACAATTTTCTGATTTGTACCTCCTCGATGAGCAACAGACTTTAGTCTTTTCAACAAACTTTTAACATTAGTCTGGTGTTTCCTCTCTTGTATCTAATGTAGAACCAACACAATGAGAAGACGATAAGCTTTTCACCACAGTGGTGCAAACTAGACCTAGGAGACAAAGGTAGGATTTTGTGGTTGTTGATGTTTTCCGATGGTTTAAATCCAACAGCTGGAATATTTTACCAACAACAGATGTAGAGCTAAATAAGGGGAACAAATAGACACTCACGCCCAACAGAGCCTAAGTTTTTACATTAAGATGACCCTAAAACTTTGTATACCTACCCTGTACCATAGACGTCTCCCTGGCCTTCGTCTCCTTCCATCAGCCCCATGGCCCTCAGGGCCTCCCACTGTCTCTCTGTTGGGACAGTGCACTCAACTGCACAATGAGACCGCCTTCTCCTGTGGCTGTGCCCACCTTTACCATCCACCTGTACAGTGATTGGCTGGCCGTACTCGTCCACAAAGTGCAGCTCTTCCCGGCGTGGGTGATGGGAAGGTTCACGAGCCTTAGCCTGAGAAGAGGGAGTAACAAGAAGCAAAATACATTTTTTAAACATAATATCTGCACGATCAGACCTGTTCTGGATGCAGTTACATAGCCAGAACAGGTCTGGATCTGTTCTGGATTTCTGGATGCATTTAAAGACCTATCACTTCTGTCCTTCCAAAGGTTTCGCTTGGTATAAAGGTGTCAGGTTAACATCTGAGGCAGGGAAAATGCTCTTTGGGAAAGTCGGAGATTGGCCTTCGATACGAGGTT